ACACTGCCTTTCTTATTCACTGTGATATCACCAGGCTTGTAAAATCTTGCTGAGGGGCAGCTGTGCGGGAGAGCTACAACTCCCAATGTGTCGGAAGGTTCTTGAAAATCAAGGGAGCAGCATTGTTTTTCTAGGAAAAATCATTGTATGTATGTGTAAAGAGAGAGAAAGAGGTAGGGGATAGGCAGTGCTGCAAACGCTGGTTTGGATTTCACTTCAGCTAAGGCAGCATTGTCAGCTTAAGGGAGTTAACCCAGCCATACATGTATCGAAATTCGTCCACTCCCTGCTGAACTGGCCGAGTTTCGATCCATGTAGAGGCAGGCTGGCTGTACAGAAGTTGATCTACCAATCGACTTCTGTACAACCAGCCTGTCGGGTTTTCCCAAACGATCAGTGCTGCCGGCTATAGCTGGCAACACTGATTCATGTATTCTGAAGTCTCCCCATTTTCAGAACAAGATAGTTAACAAGAGTGATTCCTCCTTCCACATTGGATGAACAAAAAAAAAAAGATTAATGTACGGCCAGGCTGATTCTCTATCAGAATAAATAGGGATTTTTCTGTGTTTGCAGTGTTTTTAAAGGAATAAAACATGGGGGAAATGTGCATGCATTCCACAGATGTACTGCATATATTTTGAGTTTTCATTTTGCCAATTTCAACTCTCTGGCATCTACCATGACTGAATTTTCCGTTTCAGGCGGACAGACTTTAAAATTAAATTTAAATTTGACTTTTTGTGTCCCTTTGTTGCTTGTTGCCTAGCTTATCAAATAAGCCTAATTTATATAATATATTTTTTTACCCAACCAGGAAATGACTCCAAAGTGGAGGGGCTTGTGAACTTTGAAAAACTAAGAATGATTGCTAAAGAAATACGGCATGTTGGTAGAATGGCTTCTGTGAACATGGATCCTGCTCTAATGTTCCGAACAAGGTACTATCTCAGGTTTTGTCAGTTACATGTGAATGCATACTTTATTTCCTCCTGAACTGTGATATGTAAGGTCAGGTTACAGAAATTCAGTGAGGGTGATTTTGGTAATGTAATGTAAATTTATGGTCAAAGTATATTTTCCCTACCTTCCCAGGTCAATAACTTGATGTGTCTGTCATTGGGAGTGCCCATCCTCATATAATAAATTATATATATTATATATTATATAAATTAATTTATATATAATATAAATTATTTTATTATATTTATTTAAATATATTAATTATTATTATTATAGTATATTTATCAAAAATTGTTTTATAATTTTTCTCTCCACCTTGAGCCGAAGTAGGCATTTTTTTTTTTTAATCCCCATTTTAGGCCCCATTATTATTCAGCTGTATTACTACTAAAAGCATGCTGAGAATTTTAGACTTGTATAATAGATCTTAAAATGACTGTTATTTTTTTTTAAAAATTAAGCTTTACAAATATGTTCTATGCCTACCTGCACTGTACAATGGTTTTGCACAGAGCAGCTCTGAACCTCCTCTTCTCAGGACCCCACAGGCGCTCTCTGCTGCTCCTCTTCTTGGTGGGGCTCCATTGGACGCCTGTTCCAATAAGGGCCCACCTGCGGGCTCCGTATGGCACAGACTGAGTGTCTCAGCCCTGCCCTTCTGCTTGCTGCTCTCAGAATTCGATTGACAGCAGCAGGAGCCAATGGCTCCGGCTGCTGCCTCTATGAGAGAGCGCGACACAGCTACAGTGCTGGATCGATAGTGGACTCTGGTAAGTATACAGGGGGAGAGAGGGCAAAACAGATACAGGGACATTTTTTTATCTTAATGCAGGCAATGCATTTAGGATCAAAGTGGTTGTAAAAGCTGGGAATTTTTTCACCTAGAGCCTGTTCTTTCAGATTTCCCTGCTGCAATTAAGGGTAAGTTCACCTATTACAAAACATAATAAATGCACATATTTTTGCTGGTAAAAAATATGTGCATTTATAAGCCAGTGGATTGTGGGTACAATGTCAGACTACTGCAAATGCTTGCTACATATTTCTGCCTGTACCTCTGTATGCGCTTTCTGTTTGAAAGCTGTATGAAGTGTTAATGAACTATGAGAGTGCTGACTAGCACCCTCACTGTTCATTGAGAACTACAATCTGCGTGCTATGATGGAAGACAGTACTTGTAGTTCACTCATTTACAAATTCCTGTGAATGAATGATGCAGCTGTGCAGGGCTGACAGCAACTGTGGGGAGAAAATCCCCGGCCCGCTGTCAGGATTGGGAGTGTGGAGGGAGGCTGCTGAATATGTTTAATGTTAAACCCTAATTACGAGTGTAACGTGTTCAGAAAGGTAATCTTATCCTTTACGTCTCTTCTCCTACAATACATGCAGTAGGATCATCGACTTAGATCCACCATATGGTTTGCCTTGCAAATTGCTTTATTCCAAAACTGACCGTTTTCTCTTCAGTTTGTACTCAAATATCAGCTTTGGGAGAAGGCACAAGGGGATGTTTGGCACTACTCATTTTGTAAATGTAAGAGAAATTATTACTGAGGTCACAGGATTGTGGGAAGAAAAGGTAACAGCAGTGGAGAATTAGAAACATGTAGGTTAAATGGCCTTTTTGACAGTTTTTTTTTTTTTGAATGTTTTTTTATTTTTTTTTAACAAAAGCACGTCATATAAAATCCGGTATGCCAAATAGAGCTATGTGGAGAATATGTCTCTTTTAATGGGATTCTTCTAGAATAAGTCAATAAGATACCAATACATTTTAGAGATGTCTGTTGGCTTCTAGTGTGTCTTGTCTTGAGGACTGGGCCTTTCTTTCTGAGCTTGTGATCTTTCTCTCTCCCTTTTCTCTCTGTCTTTGTACCTGTGCTTCTTCCTTCATGGCTATCACTTGCAGGAAGAAGAAGTGGAGAAGTTTGGGGTGAGTTTGTTGATGGCCTTCATGCTTACTGCTCATAGTTTCATTCTGTTCATTCGCATTTTCCCCTTTCTTTTGCTTTTTTGCTTTTTGGTACCCTTTAACCCTCTGGCTGGCAGACTGTTGATTACCCAACCCATGCTCTTATATCCCTCCATTTAACAATTTATTACAGCCAGACTAATCTTGTTCAGGGATATAAAGATGTGCAAGCAGATTATATCACACATTGGACAGTGTCTCAGAGAAGTAATGCATATAGCACAACCGATTATCAGATGGTGATTGCAAATTATTGTATTTGGGTGCCCTTTTCTATCAGGCTTATTTCAGTGTAAAGCAATGGTGACATGAACCCATGTGAAGCATTCAGAATTCAGCAGTCTGGAAAGTGCAGACTAGTGGAAGCTGAATTTTGACTCATTGCACTCTTTACTGCTAAGTGAGCTCATGTGGGTTTACAGTAACTTTCAGCTACAGTTAAAGTATAACTAAAGGCAAACGTTTTTTTTTTTTAGTTTTGTATAGAGGGGAGATGGATTAGAACACCTTCCAGATTTTATTGCTGTCTGTGTCCCCATTAGGGAGATTCCCCTTCTCTACTTGTCCTGTTTACCATTATCATTGAAAGTGAAAGAAAATCCCAAGTTTTGGGTTGTTCCCACAAAAGTAATAGAGGAGAGATATTCCAGTGAGGACACTAGTTTTGGTGACCTGGGGGCCCCAAGGATTTCCCTTAATTTGCAGGGATTTCTTCTCACCTCCTTTTTGGCTATGGGACAGGAAGTGAAAGTAAATCTCCCCAGTAGGACAAAGATGGCAAAAATAAACCTTACAAGAGTTATGACCCTCCCTTACGCTATCCAAAAGGAAAAAAAGTTTTGCCTGTACTTCTACTTTAACAAAATGTCAATATGAGTAATGAACGTTCAGTTTAATTGGATGTTTAGATGCACAATTGGTTATTTGCTGCTGTCAAAATATTTGTTTTGATAGGAATGGTAAGTGGAAAAATATGAAGTTGGTAACTCACAGTAACAAAAGAGACTGCTTTATTCTGATCTTTAATAACCAGAAAAGGTCCATGATGCATGGTGACCAATCCAGCCATCCTCATATACTAACTGGCTACTTTACTGACCACAGAACATGAGTAGTTAACACAGTAACTGTCATCAAGCCACCCACCAGCCACTTCTCAGATTCCATGACTGCAGTAAAACCATCCTGATTTTTGCAGCATGAGCTTTCCTTATTGACAATTTTATATATTTATTTGTACTTCTGTAGGGAATGGTGTGTATGGCTTAGTTAGTATTTGTTTTAATAGAAGGGCTACATGAGCGGAGATCAGGGGAGGATTTGCGTTCTAGGACATATAATTTGATATGTATGTACTTTTGTCAGAAATGCATGCATTTAATAGAGATGCAAAGCAATATTAAACCTTTTTTTATTCTTTTTTTTCCGCTCTGTTTTCACGTGCTAATCTGGCCAGTAACACACCTCCTACATTAGAGTGTCCTCACTCTGGATGAAAGAGCACAGGGGCACATTTGGACAGCAGCATTGGCAGTCTGGTGAGGGGGAGAGTAGTGTTAGGTATACTAGCAGATTTAGATACACTAACAAATTGAAGCCAAACTCCAGCTCAGTTTCTTTATCACGTTTACAGCAAACCATTTTTTTTCCTTTTGGGGTAAAGGTTTTACATAAATAAAAGCTGATCATTATAAGCACCCCTGTCAGTGGTAAATGGTTTGTCTCATCCCTCCAACTCCTATATAAGCTAAAGAGCTTGTTCTTTTGAAAACTACAGACTTACTGGCCAGATCACCAGGTGAAGGAATGAACAATTGAAAGCCCTATAAAATACAACTAATACAGCCATCACATCTAAGATTTGGTAAGCAGCAAAATAATAAATGTTTGCTTTTGGGTATAATACCACTATAAGGTAATAAAGTTACTAGCTAGCAACTAGCTTTGTTTTGTTGAGTTAAGGCATGCTTAGAAGATATTCTCAGTGCATCCTTTCATGGGTGCTTTTGTACCAGAACTAGGCTCAGAATTATTTATTTAATTGTTTCCTGTCTCTTTCCGCAGGTCACTTAGTCAAGGGAGCACCAATGCTGCTGTCCTGGATGTGGCACAAACAGGTGGTCACAAAAAACGAGTACGTCGAAGCTCCTTTCTGAATGCCAAGAAACTGTATGAAGATGCACAGATGGCTCGCAAAGTGAAGCAATACCTGTCCGACCTGGATCTTGAAATGGATGAAGAAAATCTTCAGACATTATCTCTCCAATGTGAGCCTTCAACAAATACATGTAAGTAGCATGGTAATATTTAATGCATGGCTTATGACATGAAGAAAGCCTTAACTTCAGGAGACTACAAGAATCTTAAGGACTGCTTTTTACGGAGAAAGGAGTGGTTTACACTAGAACTCAGTAGAAAGGTGTGTTCCGTGCGCATTTTCCAAAGCGCACGCATACATGCTGGCCCGGTTAATTATTACTGGTACCCCAAATGCGGCTCGCAAACGCAATGTGTTTGCAGTCACCTATTGGCATGGTTCTACAGTACCATGCAGTTTGGTGTGGTGCGATTTGCAAAAGTAGCGCCTGCACTACTTTTTGCATGCTCCTGTGCACTTGACAGCCTTTCTAAATTAATGGAATGCGCAAAAATGCGCACACACTAGTGTGAACTGGCCCTAAATGTACATATTTGAAAAATGATACTGTGTTGCAGACATGTATTAAAAAGTTAATAATAGGCCCACTTCATTGGTGGCAAAATAGATATGTATGTTAGCTAGAGTACCACAAACCAAAAATGTTATATAATTCATTTTTAATATTCAAAAGAAAATCATCCATCCATGTCTCCATGCTTTATTTTGCTGATAAATCATTTTGAAAAACACCTCCTGGTATTTCTAGCCGTGGCCATCTTAAATAAGGGCAGATGATTCATGTAGCAGTTACTTCCTGGAATCCATCTGTCCTTAACTCAGGCGTTGGCTGAGCCTGAGAACCCTACTGCCCCTCCTGAAGACTCCTGGGATGTATGGCATAATTTGCCTAGGCATGGTAACCAGGAAGTAAATGAAGGAATGCAAAAAAAAAAAAAAAAAAGTTAAAACAAATAAATATAATTTCCTATCTATTTTCTCATGTTAGCACAATAAGGATTAGAATTAGTCCATATTGATTTAGAGAGTTTAAATAATGTCACCTGAGATATACGGGAAGACACTACTAACTGTATCTATTATATTATTATCGTCATCCGTTTCTGTTGGTGCAGTTGTACAGGATAATTAAATATGACAGTGCAGTTCAAAAGGTACCAGAATAAGACCCACTGCAGTCTGTAATAAACATTCAGTTACAGAATTAGACAGGCCCAATGATCCTTTGCCATACAAGTCTGTGTGAGGAGATTTGACATGAGGTATGTGGCTGTTACTCAGCTATGCCTGCATAAAACATTGAAGAGGGAGAACAGGAAGCACAATTTTGTCAGAGAGAGAAATTGTACTACATTTTCACTGAGATATTTTAAGGCATTTCCAAGAAAAAAAATCTGTCAGATATGTGAGACTTCAATTAGGCTTTAAGTTTTCATGTAGATTTATTTATGTACACTTATATTTGTAAGATTGATAAATTACTTGACCCTTTTAAAGAATGGTATTACAAACAATCATAACCAGAGGTCAAATGTTTCTCAGTGCCAAAAACGCCTTGTGACAAGAGATCAGGGAAACCAGACACATCACCAGTAGCACCGAGAGCAGCAACTCAGCAGAAACAGCAACAGCCAATAAAGGTGAACCAAGCATTGCAGGTGCCAGCTGTGGCTCTCTATCCTTCCAGAAAGAAGGTGCCAGTCAAGGATCTTCCTCCTTTTGGTAAGTGTTGCTGAGTTTTCTAGAATCCTTTGCATTTAAAATAGCATAAGTATGACAAACAGTTCATCTTTATTGTTGAGTCTAGATAGATCAAATATACCTCTTACGGGTAAATGTAGTCCACTACTTATCTCTCTTGTCTAGCATTGGCTTTCCCCCCACAGACTGTAGGTGTCTCAATCTTCCAAAGATATAAACACTTGGTATGTGAGTTAACCTGTCCACATCTACCCAAAACATTTTCAGACCCTTTAAAAACATTAACATATAGCTAGTTCTGTAATGACATTAGTCTGCTAACTGATTCAGTTCATTATCCACCCCTTGCCCCCGCCAAAAAGAGAGACACTACAGATAGTTTATTTTGATATCTATCTTTTCTGTAAGGCATCAACTCACCACAAGCGTTAAAGAAAATTCTTTCCTTATCAGAAGAAGGAAGTTTGGAACGGCACAAGAAGACAGCAGAGGACACTATATCCAATGCATCGTCACAACTTTCATCTCCTCCCACCTCCCCACAGAGCTCTCCAAGAAAAGGTAAAAAAGCTTTCTTAAAATTAAAGCAGTGTTATGATATTCTGTTAATACATGAAACACAAGGTATAAAATATTGAAACAAGTCGCAGAAAATTAGATTCTGCGTATGCTTTTATGTAACCTAAGAAATTATACTTACCAGGAGCCCACATTATGAGTCTACTTTTTTCATCTGCTGGTTTATATTCACCATTCTGTTTGATCAACCCATATAATTAACTGTGGCATAAATGTACATTGAAAACCTTGTCATTGTGACCTTGGGTTGTAATCTTGTTTTGCTTTTCACTGTTTTAATAAAAGAATGTATGTTGTTATAGCTGTTCTTATCTTACAGGATATTCTATGCCAGCAAGCGGCACTGTGGATAATTTCTCTGACTCTGGGCACAGTGAAATCTCTTCTCGTTCAAGTATAGTCAGTAATTCTTCATTTGATGGCATGCACCTCCATGACGATAGGCGGGCAGCGACATTCAGTGAGCATTGTGGAGACTAATCTTGGTGTTGGGAGGACAGACAGAAGAACTGTAATAGAAGCTGAACCTTGCTGCATGGGGTAATGTATCTCTTTTCCTTAAACAGGACTTCCCTGTTTGTTCAGTATGTAATAAATACAATAATTTATTAATTATTATAGGGTTTAGGTTCAGGGCTGTGGTCCATTCCAATGGCACCCAGACTCTGAAGGCCCCTTTGGGGGATATGCCCACTGTGACAGGTGAAGTTTGCTTCCTTCTTGAAACCTGCTGCATGGATAAGATAAAACAGGATTTCCCTGTTAGTGATGACCATGTTTTGATTTACATGTGGGCTTTTTACTTAGTCTCAACTATTTTGGCAGAAAGTAACATTTACCTTTTTTGGATTTGGTGGGGTTTTTTTTAAATGCAGCATTGCTGCTTGGTGTTGAAGTAGTTTAAGTATCTTCTGGCTGATGCATTTCTGCTTGCCATTTCCTCTGAGAGCATTAGAAGCACATCTGACCCTCTCTACCTGCTTCTCTGGAGACTCAGGACATTTGTCAGCAGCTGGGTTACAATGTCTCCTTTCCCAGAAACCAAAAATACCCTCTGATTGTGCATCCATTTCATGAGTACCCCAAAGTAAAGGGATACCCTCACTTAGCAATGGCAGAGAAAAGGGCAGAGGAGCTGAGAAAAAAGGGCCGAATAGCGCTCTGACTATAGATTGCACCGAGGAAACCCAGAAAAATGCTAAGGGCAACAGCTGTTCCCCTGCACCAGAGCAAGCTTCCATGTTAACAAAACTCTTTTCCTCTAATTCTATCTTCCTCACAGATGTTCAATAAGTGACCGTTCTGACTAAGGCAGATTTTAATGTAGCTATGTTTGATTTCTTTGGAAAGCTCTCTGCCCTTCTGGAGCTTTCTGTTTCCAGGGTCCCAAAGCACTCGTCTGCCTCTCCACCATCTGAATCTATTCAGAAGTATGACCCTGATTCTCCTGGAAAATTTTGAGCACTGGCATCAGAAAAAAAAAACTATGTATTACCAAGCTTTACTGTTACTGTGGAAGATGTTACTTCCTTTGATGATTTGGTTGACACGCATATTCTGTTGAAGACCTCCTTTGTTCTTCCTGTAACCATCTTAAAAGCGGTCATAATGGCTATGTCCATTTGTCACACTGTAGCTAACTAGACAGAACAAATGAACAGAGAGCATAACTTTGTGTTAGAAGTCCCTCTTCTCTTAAAACAGTTGCAGCTCATGTCTTCGGTGGTGCTATTGTTTGTTGGTGTACTGGAAAATGTAATTGCTAGGTCTCTTGGATGACACTTCTCTTTGTTCATGTGTGCATGTGAATTTTGTGGTTAAAGGCTTGGTCTAATGAACCTGCTTGTAAAAGGCATCTTTCATGCATGCCTATGGATGGTGAACACACCTGTTTGGTCAGTCCTTTGTTAAACTTATGATGGAAGTTACTTGGGGGTGAGCATTTCTACTCCACAAAAACATCCTAAGCCTACTACTACAACAGGTATTACAACTTCTCACCGAAAGAGGGGGACCTTTCTCTTCTCCCACGTGTCCTCTCCTAAGCTAAAGGCGAATCCAACCTTTTGCCACAAGCCTACCCATGGGCCCCTTTCCCAGTGTAGGGGCATCCTCACTCTCCTGGGTGGGGTAGGAATCTGTTGGTCGTTGCATCTAAATTAGAGACATCCCAGACCTCTGGTCCAATCAGTTGTTTTAGGGGCTAAAAAAAAAAAAAGTGTGTTTATATTGCCGCCTCCTCGAATTCTGCCAACTTCACCTCAGTCAGGCAAACCTGTGGGTTGCACTGAATTAACTGTAGGCACAAGGAGTGATATTCAAGGTCCTGCATGTCCTCAAACTTTATATGGAGTCTCCAGATCTGTCTTTGCTTCCTTCTGCTAAGATCCCAGGGCATTCATGTTACGGGACACCTATATGACCTGCTGCTGAAAGACTCTTCAGCCACATGCTTTTCTTCTACAATTTATCAGATGATCAAGCTCCTTCATGCTTTTGGGTGGGCAGTCAATTTCTATAAGCTTGCACTCCTGCATTCCCATTGTCTTAGAGTATATGGGAATATTCTAGACATGGCCCAGGTGAAAAAGTATCCTGCACAGGAAAAGATTGCTTCTCTGAGGTCCAACTATTGGACCCTCAGGTAAACCAGCCACCCCTCGACTCAGATCTGCATGAAAATTCTGGGGCCTCACGGTGGTCTCCTTTTTACGTGATACTTTTCACTTAGTTCCAGACCTTTTAACATTCTCAATATGTGGGACAAGCCGATCCCTTCTCTGGATCGCCTACTGCTCCTGTCCAGCTAGGCAAAAATCTCACTAGCATGACGAATTTTCAGCTCGAAACTAGAAAATTGTTCCTCCCCTCTTCCTGGAAGGTGATAACAATGGACCACAGCCTTTCAGACTAGGGCAGGATCTACACTTCCCTGACTGTCCAGGATACCTGGTCACAATAATTAGCTGTCCCCATCAATATTCAGGAACTGAGAGTCACAAGACAGTGACACAGTCACTCAGTAACGGTACAGTCAGACAACACCACAGCTGTGACCTACATAAACCACTATGAGGTAACCAGAAATTGCGCAGCTCTGAAAGAGGCAAACCTGATCCTCTCTTGGGAGGAGAACCAAGCGCCAACATTCTTGGCCACCTGCATACCAAGAGTAGAAAAGTGGCAGGCGGACTTCTTGAGTTGTCAAAGCCTGGACTCAAGGGAGTGGCACCTCCCCCCGAGATCTTCCTGATGCTTTTTCAGAAATGGGGAACTTCAGATGTCGACATAATTTACTCCATGTTCAGCTAGAAACTGGACAGGTTTGTGACCAGATCCAGGGACCCCCTAGTCTTCATGGTGAATGCTATGGTGATTCCTTGAACCCCGATCAGACAGTTGTATGTATTTCCTCCAGTGACGCTTCTGCCTTAACTACTCTGCAAGATAGAATGGGAATGGATTCTGATGATCCTTATATCCCCAGGAGAGCTTTGGTACACATACATACTCATACTCCTGTTGGACAGCCTTGGCCTCTTTAAAATAGGCTAGATCTTCTGTCACAAGGCCCTCTAATTCGTCCCTTCTTTTCAGTCACTGGCTTTAACGGCACGGCATAGCTGTAGAAACCCAGGCCCTAAAGGTTAGGGGCATTACTTATTCAGTCATTCCCACATTGAGCAAGAAAATCTACAATGTACTTCTAGCAAGATCTACCATCACATTTGGAAGGCCTATTTTGGATGGCGTGAAAGCAGTCGAATCAACACTCAGGAATATTCTATTCCCCACATTCTGGCTTTCCTCCATCTTGATCGTGACATGCATCTGGCTCTTAGTGCCCTAAAGGAACAGGTTTCTGCTCTGTCCTTTCTGTTCCAAGACCTGTCTTCACACTCTATTGTAAAGACCTTTTATACAGTGTTCATTTATTCCCCACTTTGACCTCCTGTGTCTCCCTGGAATCAGAATCTGGTACTTTAGGTTCTTCAAAGTCCTCCCTTTTAAACAGATTTAGGATATCCAGTTGAAGTATCTTACCAGCAAAACTGTCCTTATTTTGGTGGTCAATACCTCCACATGATGTGCCTCCAAGTTAGCTGCTCTTTTTTTGTAAAGGACCTCTTCTTATCCCAAATAGAGATGGTCCTGAGATCCAGACCTGTCTTCCTTCCCAAGGTATTTTCTTCCTTTCACCTCAATGAGAATATTGTCTTACCTTTCCTCAACCCAGTCCAAAGCACACCAAGGAGATTGCACTTCAGTGTTTTAATGTGGTTAGAGCTGTTATGGTTTATCTAACTGTTTCATCTTTCTTCCGAAAAACTGATTCACTTTTTTGTCCTCTTTGTATGTCCACAGAAAAGTCATCCCGCTTCCTCTTCCACCATAACTAGGTGGCTCAGGCAGCTCATTTCAAGGTCTTATATATTTCAAAAATGGACCGCGCTAAGGTCACAAATTGACAAAATAAACTGTGCAATCTTTAAAGTGATCACGCTGAGCAAAATACAAAAAAAAATATTAATATTCAGTCCCAACATAATAATTGGTGCAACGGCGCTGTATCTTTAACGGTAATACTCCATACTGAAATGACAAGTTCTTCACTGTGTTCACACTGGTGCCCCACATAGATGTAAACGCACCGTCATTTCATGACCACCTATCTTTAAGTAAGTCGCACTCACTTTTTGGGACTACCCCAGTTTGCAATCTGGTCCTGATGGCCGATATTCTTTCACCCTTATAACCGTGGTTGCTGGTTAGGACGTAATATTAATATTATATTTGTATTTTGCTCAGTGTTATCACTTTAAAGATTGCACAGTTTATTTTGTCAATTTGTGACCTTAGCGCGGTCCATTGTTTAAATATATAAGATTGTGTTTAGAAATTCACATTTAGGACTGCTACTATATAGGTTTCTTATATATAGTTAATTCTTTCACATGTATATTAATTTTTTTTCTAAGCGAAATGGCACCCCTTTTTTCTTTCAAGCTCATTTCAAGGGCTTATATAAGCCTTCAAGGTAAGGGTCCCCTCTTGCCCTGTCAGGGCCCATTCCACCAGATCTCTTGGTGTTTCTTGACATGACAGTGGGGATAATTTTGGTTATGCTGCTCAAGCATATGTACACCTCCCCCTCCACTGGCTTTGCAGCTTAAGAGGGAGCAGTGAGAGACAGGAAAAACACATATTTAACTGAGCGTTTTTTTACCACCCCCCAAACCACAAGTGTAAAGGAGGTTACATAATTAGTCTGGCTGAAAAGAGACAAAAGTCCATCCAGTTCAACCATATAAAAAAAAAAAAAAAGTTATAATTCTACACAGTTGATCCAGAGGAAGGCAAAACCCCAGCAAAGCATGATTCAATTTGCTCCTGCAGGGGAAAAAATTCCTTCCTGATCCCCCGAGAGGCAATTGGATATTCCCTGGATCAACCTTACCTATAAATGTTATATTCTGTGTATCTAGGAAAGAATCCAGGCATTTTTTAAAGCAATCCACTAAGCTGGCCAGAACCAACTCTTGAGGGAGTCTATTCCACATTTTCACAGCTCTCACTGTGAAGAAACCTTTCCGTGTTTGGAGATTACATTTCTTTTCCTCCAGACGTAAAGAGTGCCCCCTTGTTCTCTATGATGTCTTTAAGGTGAATAACTCTACATCGAGATGACTATATGAACCACTGATGTATTTATACCTCATAGATTGTAAGCTCCAAGGAGCAGGGTCCTCCTAACCCTCTTGTATTGAACTGTATTGTTGCTGTATTGTCTCCCTTTATATTGTAAAGAGCTGAGCAAACTGTTGGCACTATATAAATCCTGTATAATAATAGCTGTCCATAATAATACATGTTGATCATATTCCCCCTTAATCTCCTCTTCTCAAGAGAGAATAAATTCAGTTCCTCTAATCTTTCCTCATAGCTGAGCTCCTCCATGCCTCATATCAGTTTGGTTGCCCTTCTCTGTACTTTCTCCAGTTCTCCAATGTTCTTTTTGTGAATCGGTGCCCAAAACTGAACTGCATATTCCAGATGAGATCTTACTAATGATTTGTACAGGGGTAAAATGATATCTCTCTCTCTGGAGTCTATACCTCTTTTAATACAAGAGAGGATTTTGCTCGCTTTAGGAACCGCAGCTTGGCATTGCATGCCATTATTATTTAAGTCTAAAACGTTTATTTAGTAAACAGTACAAAGAGCAAAATTCTAATGCAAAAAGCAATAACTCGTAGCAGCTAATCAAGATTCACTTTTCTGAAGACAGACCAATCCTAGATGGTTTTCTATTGATTGCTAGATTTCTTTTGAGTGCTGCAGATTGTTCCACTTTGCTTTATGTCCTTTGCACTATTTTATTGGCTATTATTTAAATGAAATTGGTGCATTTGAATTTGTGTGGAATTTGCATCACTGAATTACTATATGCAACCATTTCTGTTTGCTCATTTGTATTTTCTTAATACTCTTCTAGGCACTATGCACATTTGGTGGAGAATAGAGGCTTGTACGCGAGTGGAACGGTTTTGTCCTCTCCCAGCATGGAGGAATTGTCCCAGGATCAGGGTGATAGAGCTTCACTGGATGCTGCAGACAGCGGACGAGGTAGCTGGACCTCTTGTTCAAGTGGCTCCCATGACAACATACAAACTATACCACATCAGAGGAGTTGGGAGACTCTGCCATTTGGCCATGTTCATTTTGACAGCACATCAGATGGGGCAGGTTACTGGCCGCCGGGAAGTCATATAGACCATTTAATATTTTCTGATCATAGCACAAAGCATGGCAGACACAATCAAGGAAGAGAAGCTTTAGAACAAGCACAGTCCAGAGCAAGCTGGGCATCTTCCACTGGCTACTGGGGTGAGGACTCTGAGGGGGACACTGGCACCATTAAGAGACGAGGGGGAAAAGACGTTGCTCTTGAAGCAGAAACAAGCAGCATATCCTCACAAACTGCAGAAGAGACAAGGCCTCTACCTGTGCCCACACACATAGCTGTGACAACAGCTTCCTCAAAGGGTCTTATTGGTAAGAACAGCTTATTTTCTAGTTGTGTCATACTCATTACATGCCTTGATATTAGGCTTTCACCTTAGGATTTTAGGTGGCAGTTTAGTGTTTTGCTTTGTATTCTGGTGTTCATGTATACATGTTAATAGGGAATTCCATGCAGAACTGTTATGTCCATTTTGGGCTAAGGCCTTCTAGTGGACCTAGACCATGAAGACAACCTAGATTCCAAATTGTAAGAGATCAGGATGGGCCTGAGATCTGATTTTATAATAAATATATAAAATAGTATATTAAATCAGAAAGTAGGGCTTATACAGTCTGTTTAATGTGTTTACATTTCATTAACTTGTTTGTGAAATAACATATGGTTTTCTTAGTCTGAGGATCTTGTGGATGTTGGAGTGATAGGGAACTAGTTTGAGTAACAAAGCTTCCAGTTAAATTTTATAGAGTGTTTACTTGTATTTACACAAGAACTGATGTGGTAGTGGGAACCAGGAAAGACTGCTAAGAAGAGGTTTGACTGAAGGCACTTTACCTGCTTGGATCATGCGTTCTATTTAATGGAACTTCCTGGTTGTCAGAGAGATTATCTGTGTGCCTATATATCAGCCCTTCATTACTGAACATTTGAAAGAGAAAACAATCAAGTTGTTGCTTCTCTGTTCTCTTTAAGAGAGCATTGAGGGTTTGTGTTTACAGTAGGACACACAACTATCGTACCAGTTTATGAATTAAGAGCACACCATTAGGAATGAAATGCCAGTGGTGTGTAACATTGAACAGTTGCAGCGTTAATGTTATTTTACTGTTATTTAGCCTGGGTTCACATACATGCACGTTTATGCTATTTACACATGGGAAAACGTAAGAAGCCCATGACTTATAAAACATACACAAAATGTATTTGTTCTGTATTACCGTGACTTGGACAAAATAAATGTTTCTCCAGATGGTTTGGAAATAATTTTCACAGAAAGGTCTCCACTTATTACAGCTGAATTTGCAGAAATTTGGAGTCCCTCTTTTGTTTATAACAGGGGCTGTAATAATTAATGGCTCCTTGTTGCTAGACAATAGAACCCTAATCATCTTGGGTTAATTATTTTTAATGCTTGACTGTCAGAGATAGATGTTTGTCCCTTTATTTAGACTAATAAGAAATGTACCTGATTTAAAGTCCCATCAAACATGTACTTATTCTTTGTCCATGCAAAATAGGGGATTTAGGCATGACATTATTAGGCGCCAACTCACAATTTTATTATTTATATGTCCCTTTAGTTGTATTCTCTCCCTTTTGTAATGGAAGTGTCACCTTTTTGTAACTGAGTGCCCCCCACAAACGTTCTTATCCCCTGCCCCATGTTTATTCTGAAAACACTGGCTCTCTCAAGGCTGCTGAAACTGTTGATTAGCAAGCTGGTTGTTTGTTTTCAGCACTAGATAGAGGCTAGCAATAAAGCTTTTGTAGGGCTTTCTGCCAGCCACTGAGTTCAGAGAGTCAGTGTCTGGCTTTACAGCCACTTCACTGAAAATATTAGAATGCAAGACCCATAACAGCACAAAAATCTGTCTATGAGATGTAAGGCATCATTGGTATAACATTAGGTGTGTAAAAGGGCAAGTTCAGGTTTGCCCTCTATAACCCCAAAAAATCTGTGCTTGGAAAGAAAAGAATATTGATACTAAAACAAATAGCAGCTGAGCACTATACCCTGATACCAGGCATTCCAAATCTTATGTAAACAGGGCAGCGCTCAATAAAAATCAAACTGAAAATAAACAGAGAAATCCCACTCATGAAAATTATACAGTAAATGAAAATAGATAATTCATTAATTTTTGCACGGTATTAAAGAGTCTGTAATAAAGATCAGATCAAATCAGTCCCACATGCCATGATAAAATCAAGAAACTTCCAAAACAACCAGTGTGACACCATCCACTCACATGCAAGGCTTACTGGGAGGATTGTGACCCCCTATTAAGAGTGGTCAAACAGTGCTCTTTAACAAGATATTGGTAACATCATGGGTAAATGGTCTTCCAAAGACAGCCAGAAAGGGTGACAAAGAATGGTCTGGACCGCCTCCTAAATATTATTTCCAGACCCTCCAATGAAAATCAATGAAGCCGAAACTTGCAGCAAAGTACATGCAACAAAGAAAAGCTGTATATATTCAGGAGGTTTATTCAAAGTTTGAGAAAGGACATGGTGAAACAAACAGGTTTTTTTTCAGAACAGAGAAAGGAAAGTAACTGCCAGATGAAGATCAAAATAGAATGTGACAACAGTAGAAACTAAGGGTAAAAAGAAAATGCTGTGTCATTGACTGCCCTTCAGGGAACCTCCTGAATAAATGCAGCATATCTTTGTTGCATGTACTTTGCTGCGAGTTCCAGCGTCATTGATTTGCATTGGAGGGTCTGGATTTAATATTTAGGCGGCGGTCCAGACCATTATTTGTCACTCTTTTTAACTGTCTTTGGAATGCAATTTACCCATGATGTTACCAATATCTTGTTAAAGAGTGCTGTTTGACCACTCTTAATAGGGGGTCACAATCCTTCCGGTAAGCCTTGCATGCGAGTTGATGGTGTCACACTGGTTATTTTGGAAGTTTCTTGATTTCATCATGGCATGTGAGGCTGATTTGATCTGATCTTCATTACAGACTCCTTAATACCGTGCAAATATTAATCATCTTTTTTCACTTATTGTATAATTTTCATCAGTGGGATTTCTCTGTTTATTAGTTTGATTTTTATTGAGCTCTGCATTGTTTGTTTACACAAGTGAAAAAACAAAAAACTGCGCAAATTAACACCTTGCCTTAATCAATTTATAAACTTAAAAGTGAAATAACCAATAATAATGTCCAAATCAAAAAATGTAAAAATAATACATTTTAAAAAGAAGAAGTCCTTTCTCCCCAAACAAGTGGTGAAAAAAATGTTGAAAAAACCAAATGTCGAAACCAAGATAATGCTTCCACCTTACACCAGTGAAAAAAACAGTATCACCCACACTCACTAGATAAAGGTGAGTAATACACCTTTTCAGATGTATAGGGATCCTAAGCCCCCTCTAAGCCTCCTGGACTCCTTTCCACCATGTAGGACTTGGGAAAGATTTCTTCCACTGGCTCCTGCCTTAACCTCTCAAAACTCCACAGCAGTGCAAGGGAAAGAAATGTAAAATAGTGTAATCCTGCTAATACTGATGTATTGCTAAAAAAAAGTAATGCCAGATCACTCACATTTGTCAGATGAATAAACAGCATCTTTTTATTGCCTCCATAGGCTCACATAAAATCCAGTATTCCCACACGGCATTGTAGAGACCTCACAGCCTGGTACAGCAAGGGATGACAGGATACAATCTAAAAAGTTATCAAAATGGCCGCTTGGAACGCACCGCTCGGCGTGCGTTCCACTCACCGGATATGACATAGGACGGCAGACCGGAAGTGCGTCAACACGTTTCGCCCCACCAACAGGGCGTTCTCAAGACACACACCTCCAGTCTCAAGCCACTTAAATAGCTATGCAAAGTCCCTCCCCTTTTCTCCTATACGTCAAAACAACCCAGGAGGTAAAATTAACTACATGTCATCCCCTGCTCCTATCACGTGAGATTGCTTCACAGAAACAAATAACTAACATATCTATCTAATCATTAGCTCACCACAAAAACTTTATTCATATCTAGAGCTAACCAGATCACATCCCTAAATTACTAATGATATCTGACATATACAATGAATGAAAAAACACCATAAAAATAAATGTAAAGATAATTATAAAATTACCAAATCCCTAATTTTATATAAACGACAAAAAAAAATATATATATATACAAACGAAAAATAATAGAATATAAAAAATAAAATATTATAAATAAGCATTCATTTGTGCATGCATATACACAATCCGAGAGGACAACTATACAAAAAAAAAATATATATATATATATATATATATATATATATATATATATATATAAAATTAAAATAAAAAATATATAAAAATAAAGATCAAATAATAAAAAAATAAAATAAAAATATAAAAATGAAAATAAAAATACACAAAAATAAATGTAAATAAAAATAAATATGAAAATAAAAAATGAAAATAAGAATAAAAAAAATATATATAAATTGTATATACCATACCTCTTGTTTTTTTTTCACTGGTGAATGGTGGAAGCATTATCTTGGTCTGGACATTTGTTTTTTTCAAAAAAAGTTTCACCACTTGTTTGGGGAGAAAGGACTTATTCTTTTTATAATTTTTTATTTTTACGTTTTTTGATTTGGACATTATTATTATTCGTTATTTCACTTTTAAGTTTATAAATTGATTAAGGCAAGGTGTTCATTTTGCGCTGTTTTTTTGTTTTTTCATTTTTTGGTTTATTTTTCCTGTGCACAGCAGCATCTAATACCTGGGTTCTAGTTTTGGAGGTGTTTCCTGTGCGCTGGGGTTTTGTGTATATATATTTGTTTACACAAGGTTTACCCTCTAATCCCCACCCAGATGCTTACTTCTGTATGACTCTGGAGGCCTTCTCTGTGCAAAATATTCCCCCAGTACTGGACGTACCTGCACAGTGAATCCCTATAGACTTGGGGCTTCACCCCTAGCTTCTCTAGTGTTGGTGTGCCACCCCAATTCAATACTGTGAACATTTACATTCCTTTAAAATATTTATTAAATATATATTAAAAAAGAGTAAACCAATCTTTTTTTTTTACTACTACATTACAACTCTGAGTGTTTTATCATTTGCTTTTGTTTTATTGTTTGAAATGTATTTGTACTTTATTTGTACAGTAGAAAATACGTTTATTTTTTTTTATGTTACGTTTCTGTTGTGACAATAATTGTCTCTTATGGTAGTGTATTGTGTTACCACAGCAAGGAAAGAAGGCCGATATCGAGAACCACCACCAACACCACCTGGATATGTAGGAATTCCTATAGCAGACTTTGCAGAAGGACACCCACAATTATCCAGAAAGCCACCAGATTACAACGTAGCACTGCAGCGTTCCAGGATGATGGCCCGGAGGAGTGACAGTGAAGGAGCACCTGCAACATCTCCACCATCACACAGTCAGCCTTCTAACAAGACCGTTAACAAGCCACAGTGGCATAAACCAAACGAGGCGGACCCACGACTAGCTATATATCAGGCACAAGGGGTTACAAAAGATGATGGTAAGTGCCCTAATTGATCTTTCAAAGTGAATTACTAAGGTAGAATCCCAGCTAAAGAGCTAAATACCTACAGTATGTGAACTGTTTTCCTTGTCAAAATATTTGTAATTTTCTTGTACCATTTGTGGGATTCTCAGACCCCTTCACAATTTATGGCAAACAGTGACACCACTTCTTTTATTAACATTTTAGCTCTCTGGCTACCTGTGTCACCTGTCTGCTCATTGGCCCAGCCTAAAAACACATTGGATTGTTGGTACACTTCAGCAGGGCCTTATTGGTTCACAGTACATAACTTCACACAATATTTTGTGTGAATAACTCTATAAGTCACAGATAAATCTTTATGTGAAAAGTTTAATTTTATAAAACAAAATTCCATAAAATACATGTTAATATTTTTAAAAGCTGATTCACACATGAACAGTGCGGATTGAAGCTCAGGATTCACACCTATTTGACACAGTTGTTCATGTTCGGTTTACATTAGGTTCAGGACAGGAATAGGTCAGGATTTTATCCTGTTCACACATATGCAGTTCAGAAACAGTTCCCATAGAAGTCAATAGCCTGTAATCTGCACCTGAACCTGAAGGCACTGCTCAGAAATCATACATGACTCTTTTTCAAACCGCACTGAATCTGCACGGCCAGTGCACCAGACATATGTGAACAGGTACTATAGGAAGTAATGTTATTTCACATGTCATGCAGATTGGATGTGGTTCAACCCACACCCAATCCACATATATGTGAACCGGAACCTAAAGTGGTTGTAAACCTTCTCATATACCCTGTGACGCAAATAGCCTCGATGCACAGAGATAAAACAAATCCCCCTACATGCGTTTTACTTGTTTATCTGCAGTATTCTCTTTTCTACATCTTATCAAATGGGCTGATATTAGGTAAAATCCTTCTCCATATGTCAGTATTACAGAGGAGGCGGCAGGGAGCTGCAGTTAGAGCTCTAAGAGAGCCGACTGAAAACACACACCCCTTCACACAGCACACAGTAGCTATGTTCTGTATAGACACTTTCCAAATTTTTTCCAGTTCTTCACAAACTGGGCAGATTTCATGCAGTATTTGGCTTTTTAGTGAGAGCAGGGGAAAGCATACACAGGTGCATTGCTGAGAGTAAGGATAAAAGGCACAGTAGATGTGGGTCAGGGCACATATATGTAGTGTTGGGGAGGCTCCATGTAGGCATAGAGTGACTGACCTGCACAGGTGCAGTTAAGAGGTACACTTGGTAGACATACATGCAATCACAGCACCATTTTGAGCCACCAATGTGATGGAATTCTATGCTAACAGTGAACCCTAGCATCATCTTAATGAAGTGCAACACCAGCATTTTCACATTAGTTTATTTTTACGTTGCAATAAAATGTCTTTATTTAAATAGTTTATCACTAATAAACTCTGCCCTCCTAACCTATTCAACGTACTATATTAATATTTTCAAAATACAATCTGTATAATGGGGTGAAACTAAGACGAAAACATAGTGATATTAAAGGTTCAGTTTTTATTTTTTAAAATAACAGACAGGTCTATACTTACCTGCTGCGTGCAGTGGTATTGCATAGAGCAGCCCCAATCCTCCTCGGGTGCCCCATCAGCACTCCTGGCCCCTCCCCTTTGCTGAGTGCCCCCATAGCAAGTTGCTTGCTATGGGAGCACTCATTCATGCTCCCAAGCCACACTCCATGTATCCGTTGACACACAGAACGGGGCTCTGCCCCGCTCCCTCCTCACTGGCTGTAATTGATAGTAGCAGGAGCCAATGGCTCCCACTGCTCTGTTTGAGCCAGTGGGGATGGATAGAGCTGAGAGAACCTCTGGTCTTGTGCACATTGCTAGATCGAGATCTGGCTCAGGAAAGTATAAGGACATAAGAAGGAGGTGGGGAAGAGGGGAGAGCTGCATACTGAAAGTTTTTTTTTCCTTCATGTTTAGAATGCATGAAGGTAAAATAAAACCTTTAGGCTTTTTCAACAACTTTAAACTCCATTTTACTTCCTGTATTTTTTTTTTTAATATAGCTATAGGGTAAGTGGACAAAAGCAAATGGCTGGTGTCATAACTGGTCACATGTGCTGCACAACAGCAACTGCAGACCAAACAGGTCAAGATAGCAGCTTCTTTGGCTATATAGGATGAGGAGGGTTTAGTTCTGCTTTAAGGTCCACCCTTCCTGCCACCACATGTGCGTTATGTGATTGGCAGCAGGTAAAATGTTGATCTGACTTCATTGGTATTAACTAATAAATAAGAGATCTATCATTCATGTGCTCTCTGTATGCGTTCTTAGATCTCCTGGTGACATCTGATGCATAGAGTAGGGGCACTGTGGTGTTTTTAACCTTCCTCTCCCCAGCTTATCAAAACATAATGCAAAATACAACTGTCAGAAAGTTGCCATTTAATGCAGGACAAATAGTGTATGTAATGATTATGTGTAATACCATTTACATGTTTGCTTAGAAGATGTTTTAATAGAACAGTAGAGCAATGCTGAGAGATTGATATACGCAATGAAAACTGACCTGCAGTAGATTCCTATAAGATTAACTACGTTAATGTTTTTTTATGCCAAAACTCAAGCAGTCCATTGTACAAAAATTACTATAGCAGCTTTAAAACGATCATAATGCATTCATTTTGTATGGTTCAGCATCATTGTATGCCCCATATATAACCATCAGTCCTGTCAACAACCCAGCAGTTACAGTTTTGCTATGCAGAGCAAAGTAAATGCTCACCTGATGCCATGTGATGCTGTTTCTCTTTGCAGATGAGCAATGAAGTTACAAATAATGATGTTATGTAGTATTTCTATCAGTGAAAGAGCGACACTGCTCATTTGGACAGTGAAGGAGCAACAAGTGGAACCAAGTATTTGCTCTTCATAGTGATCCTGTTGCTGGCGGGTTGTCACGAGTGTCAGGATCATTAGTGCGACATGGCCCTAAGACCAGATTACTTTTACAGTTAAATGTTCACTCTGCAGTCCAAAACCTACAGACCTTACTGCTGAAGCGATTAATAAACAGTGGCATTTGAAGGTGTATACGTTATATCATGTGATAGCAAAGATTGCTAAATTCTTTTTTTTGTAATTGTATTTTTTATTTCGGCAGATGATGAGCAAGTATCTGCGGTGTGAAGATGACATCTTGCCCTGCAATAGGATAAGCCACCTTGAAAGGAGAGCACAAAAGGACATCCCATATGACTGTGGAGCCTGTGGACCGGTTTCCTCGTCTTCTGCCTTAAAGCAGCACTGGGCATCATCAGACCCTCTGTCCCACTCCCTGGCATGTGAAATACTGTGAAAACATCATTCTGGCACTTTTTGTCCTTGGCAAAGCTGTTGCTTGAAACCGTGCAGGAAATTGCCACCAAAGGGTAGCTGGCTGGACCTTGCACATTATCATTCCAAACTCCACAATTACCACATCAGCAATGACCCCCGACCGTGATTACACTCCCTCACACTATGAGGGCATCTTTATTTTTAAATGTGTTTTAACTTTTATTCACTTTCTTGGCTTTGTCTGCTGTTGTAGGCCAAGCTAGTCATGTGCTTCTTATCAGCCTTTTTTTAACTTGAGCTGAGATTGCATTTCATAAGCCTCTGTGCACAGATTCTTGAGTTCGTATAGCTTCGTTTACAGTCCCGTTTGTTACACTATAATACCTTTAATGCGCGAGGAGTCCTCTGCAGTAAAGGAGGTGCACACTTTGCGCTCAGAGAGCTTATTTGTTACATCAGGATACTTACAGTGTTATTTCACACATAAGTTATGAATTATTTTTATGTTTATATAGAGATTTTTAATTCTGATAAAAAGAACTGGATTATATTGAAGTGATGGCAGCTTGGGACTCTCATCAAATGCTATTAGTAGTTATTAATACAAACTCTCTCATTGCTCATCTGAAAACGGAAACCTTCATCCACCATAGTCATGTTTTTTCTAGGCCATCCGTAATGACGCAGCACATTCATGTAGATGGGAGGCGGACTGGTCAGATTGGCCATTGTTGGACACTGCACTTGTAGAGAAGACCAATGTGTAGCATTTACCTGCTCACAGCTGCTATTGCACACCTCCATGACTCAGATCGCCATCTACTCCCTTTGCACAGACTCCGGATATCTGAAGGCTGCCAATCCGAGTTAAACTCCTGTATGAGGAACTTGTGATCTTGGATTATTATGAATATTATTTTTTTTTTTTTTCCATTTGAGCTAAGCTGATCATATTGATCAGTGGTTAAACATATATATATATATGTATGTATACAACTTTAAAGAAAACAATGAAACAGAATGCAGTGTTTTTTTCACTGTTTATAATAACATCAGTGCTTTATTTAATGAATCTCTATCCTGTTACCATGGCTTTTGTCTACCTTACTTCTTCACAATGTCAGTTATGCCTATGTAATTTTACATGTAACATACATTTATTTGCCAGCTTTTTTTAATTTTATGTAGGCGATGGAGCTTGTGCATCTAAGCAAACAGAAGCCCAGCTCAGTGACACATTGCACAAACGTTCTCAGCATCATATAACGGTAGAATATAGGACCGCTAACCTCAGTTTGCTCTGTGATGTCAAGTGCAGAATGTACAACTAACTGTTGATTTCATCATGCTTTTGATACTACTTGTACCTGTATGTCTTTTAGAAAGACATTGGTAGAGTCTGTATCCCTTTTGTATTTTTAATACAATAATTGTACATATTGGTTATATTTTTGTTGAAAATGGTAGAAATGTACTATGTTTATGCTTCTACATCCAGTTTGTATAAAGCTGGGGAATAAATAAATATAATAACAGACTTTGGTAGTTGATTCATTCGCAATTTATTTTTTAGTTAAGTAGCAAAGGCAAGGAACTTGTGTCAGGTGTATTTCTCTTTGTTTCCAGTGGGGAGATTTCCCCTTATCTCCTATTTAGTGAAAGCCAGAGAAAGATTCTATGCCGTTCCCATTGTCTTTGATGAATGAAACGTTTTAGATGGAGTTAGTCTGTTATCTGTATGCCTCTCATAATTTTTTCACAAGCTTTCTTTCACCCCTAAGGCAGGCCGTAGACGGGCCGTTTATCGGCCTAATTTTCGACCGATAAACGAAAAATCGGTTGGCCCCATTGCCGATGTTGCCACAAATGTCCACAAAAAACGGCCGTTTTTCGTGGATTTTCCAGCATGACCGATAAAAATAAATTTAAAGATCGACGAAAAACGGCCGACAGGCGGGCCCCACTAATGGCATGAATATTGGCCGATAAACGACCCGTCTATTGCCTGCATAACTTTATAACACTTTGATTTTGAAAAAAAATTTTTTGCAAGTAATGCTGATGACAAAGCTGCATTGTGATCCATAGCAATAGTCACCAGATCAAAAAGCAAGCTCTCTCAGGTAGACAAAAGAAGGTGATATACTATTTTTACATACATATGTATCCCTTTTCCTAATTAATTGTTCTACAGACCTTGACTAATGTGCACATATCAAGACTTTTATAAACATCTGTGCTGGCCTTTATGTTAAAAATGAATAGGATAGCTGTATCTTCAGTCTCTTGCAACATATCTTTTTATAATTGCTGTGTAGTGCATAAGGTGTCATCCTCCATGACTGCAAACCTGGGAGGTAACTTGTTCCTCTTCTGAAGAGCTGCAAGCAAAAACAGTCAAAAAGAAGGGGATGATTATTATTATACTGGATTTATATTGCAGCAACAGTTTATATCACTTTACAGTATTAAGGGAAGACCGTACAATTACAATACGAAGGAAATAGGAGGGCCCTGCTTGTGGAGCTTACAATCTAAAGGAAGGGGGAGGTTCCAGAGGATGGGAGAGGTTCTTTATTTCAGGTACTTATATAGCGATGTCAATTTATGTAGCGCTCTACATATATATTGTACATTCACATCAGTCCCTAACCCTCAAGGGGCGTACAGTCTAAAGTCCAAAACTTTCTTTCATACATACACATACTAAGGCCAATTTAGACAGGATCCAATTAACCTACCAACATGTCTTTGGAGTGTGGGAGGAAACCCACGCAGGCACATTAAGGTTCTACAGAAGTCCTGGAGGTGAGCATGGGAGGAGGCAACAAAGGAGCTAAAGCGTAAGATGTCTTGGGAGGAGTAAAGTGGACGATATGGGTGATATCTCTAGAAAATTTTTATTCCTCTTTACATATTTGGTGTAGGCTTTGGGGGTTCTTGTGACATGTATGCAGTAGTCACTGTACAGATGTTTCAACTATGTAATTCCTAGTTTTGCTGGCTGGGTTCTAGCCTATAGAACACTTCCTGTAGGGGAGGGAGCTCTGCTTCTCTGTGATGACCAGTCTCCATACTTAATAGTGTTTCCGTTGTCCTGTGCTTTGAATGGGTGCATTAGAATTCTTTGATTTGAAGGCTAGTAATTCTAGTAGGCAGGTTGTCATACTGTGTGCTCCTTAGGTGATTACACTGAACGCTGATATTGTTTCAGCCCCTTAGTCTGTTAGCAGGATGTAACGTTTTCTGTATTAAACTTAATCCATGCATTTACTAGCCAGTTCATGTGTTGCTGGATCTGCAGCTGTTCATATTACAAAATTGAGATTGATCAGGTGAGTATAATAAAAGCATCCCCTTTTCAACATAATAAAAATAATATTATGACTGTAACATGGTCTTAAAATTGAACATAGTCTTTAAAGGTTCCCTTCAGATTGACACAAATTGCATCCCCATTTATCACACTGTAGTATGTTCCATACTTATAATTTGCACCAGTATGTTCTATTTTATTTTTCAATAATGATTGCACCTTACTAATCTTCTACAATATTGTTTGTGTTTTTACAGTATTTTTGTGCACATTCAGTGTTCCTAGTCAAATTTTCATTAAATTTGGCTTCAATCTCATGATTTTTACTACCATCTGAACAGTGTTTAGGGGTAGGTGTTCTCCTCAGTAGTAGCAGGCATAAAAGAAATGTTGAGACGTCTTGTATATCTGGATGAGCTTGGAATGTACCTGTGTAGAGAACACCTAGATTAACATGGCTGCCTTATAAAGTTAAAAGATGTATGGTGAAAGCTTTTTTTTTTTGGCCATACTTCTCTTCTGGGTCACAGGAGCGCACTTACTTTTGCTCTCCTGTGACCCAGAATTAGCCAACAGTGGGCTTTAGCTTGATCAGCAGCTAGCTCAGCCTCTAAATGTGGAGCTGAAAGGTGGGGCCAGTTGCTCCCACCCCTTCCTTAACCCAGTACTCCAATGAGCTCTGGAGGGGCAGAGCAGAGAGCGGTGATAACAGTCACTGCTCTCAGCTCCAAGTGAACCGGGAACTGAGCGATCAGTCATGTGATCGCTCAATTCTCATGCTTAGAGCCAGCAGGGGGCAGCTGCAGCATCAGATTGATGCAGCACCATGGAGGTAAATATCTCCATACTTCTGCTTTAAGACTTTTTTTATTTATAGATTTGCCTAATTTTACTAGGGGAATAAACTCATGTACCTCAATCCCCAAAAGTCACTGTACCTCATTTATATGCATTTAGATTTGCTTGTAAGTCAAAAGGTATAATGTGCAAAAAAATTGCATCACTGTTTCATTTGTTACCTTTGTCTTTTAGGTACAACTAAGGTTCCAGATAAAGCAATCGGCAATATCCTAACTCAACATCTGCTCTTATTATGGGATAAAATGCTTTCAAAAATTCTTAACTGTGTGTGATAACAAAGCACTTCCCCAAGCTGACTTCTCCTTTAAATTCCTGGAATCACTCATCTTTGTGTTGACTTGCTCAAGTCCTCACAATCATTTACCCTCTATTTCATAATGCCAATCTTCACAGCCCTCTACTACAATCTCCTAATTGGCTTACCGACAAAATATTGAGTAATACTACACCCTATAAGAGCAACTTAGCATGCCTACCTCATTACAAATTTTGCATCCAACACATCAAGTGGCAGTAAGAGGAAACAGAAAGCTCTCCCACTTCAGATGATAGTACAGAAGAGTACCTATTTTGACTAAAACTCACTTTCACATAAAATACAGGACATAGTTCAATGTCCTGTCAAGGTGCTATAAATGTCCCAAGTGATCTTATTTGTGGTAAGAGTTAAGCA